TGGGGATTCGAACCCGCCACCTTAGGTGTACGTGGCTGGCGCCTTAGCCGGTTGAGCTATAGGCGCCGAGCCCCGAGTAGCTTTTTAAATGACGTCTTTTGAAAGACAAAAATATTACATTTTGATGAAGTTCATTTTATCAGTTGTTTTCCCTTTTGTGGTATAAACTTTTTTTTTAGTGTCATATCTAAAAATTTTTTTGCCTAATTCAGGGGCACTGTTATTTTCTCCAAATGCCTTCTTCTATAAGTTTTAGTTCTTGTTAAGATCTGTGATCCAGGCCATTGGGAGTTACTTTCTGTGCATGCTTCAAGGGAAGGATTGATGTGTTTAGAATCATTTACTGAAAAGACGGTCCTTTCTTATTGAATTACCTTGCCACCTTTGTTGAATATTAATTAACATAGGTGTATGGTGCTGTTTCTGGACTTTATTCTGTTCATCCTTATGCCAGTATCTCACTGCTTTGATTACTGTTACTTTATAGTAAGTTTTGAAATAGGGAATATAAGTACTTCAACTTTTGATGCATGGTTGGGTTGTTTGTTTAAGACAGGATCTCACTTTATTGCCCAGACTGGAGTATAGTGGTATAAATGTAGCTCACTGCATGTCTGAATGGGGCTCAAGTGATCCTCCTGCCTCAGCCTTCCCACTGGCTGGGACTACAGGCACAGGCCACCATACCTGGCTGATTTTAAAATAATATTTTGTAGAGATCTCCCTATTTTGTGCAGGCAGATCTGGAACTCTTGGCCTCAAGTGATCCTCCTGCTTTGACTTCCCAAAGTGATGGAGTTACAGGTGTGAGTCATCTTTTAAGGTAGTCTTAAAGTACCCTTGGTTCAAAAATTTCATAGCAGGCTTCATGTCTTGAGTCTCTCAGGAAGCTTACAGGCAGATGGAGGTATGTGGACACCACAGGGAAAATCAGTTCTAACTGGGATAGGGTAGGGCTAAAACTTGTATTTTTTTATCATGTTATTGAGTTACCGGTTATAGCCCTCACCATTTAACAGAAACACACTTGGGAGGATTGTAATCATATTGCCTCCTATATACAAGGTACTTTATATAATTATTTAGTATTTCCAAAATTACACTTCCTGAGTCACATACCTAAGTTGATAACAATAATAATAATAATGGCTCAGCGCCTGTGGCTCAAGTGGCTAAGGCACCGCCACGTACACCCAAGGTGGTGGGTTCGAATCCAGCCCAGGCCCGCCAAACAACAATGACGGCTGCAACCAAAAAATAGCTGGGTGTTGTGGCGGAGGAGACTCGCTTGAGCCCAGGAGTGGGAGGTTGCTGTGAGCTGAGATGCTGCGGCACTCTACCCAGGGGGACAGCTTGAGGCTCCTGTCTCAAAAAAAAAAAAAAACAACAAAAAACAACCAATAATAACAATATCCATACTAACAGTATTTATATGGTAAAGCCAGAATTTGAGACCTGGTCTCTCTAATGATACTAAACCCTAGATTGTTTAAACTGTTTCACTCTGCCTTCTAATAGTGACCATTGCTTTGTGCAAAGGTGCCTTTTTAGCCTGTGGGCTGGAAATGGCAGTGATAGGTAAGAGAGAAAAGAGAAACATCCCTCTGGCTTTTCTCCCAAGGTTCCTGTCTTTCCTTCTGTTGCTGTCAGGCTCAGGGCAGTCTCCCCCCACCCCTCTTCCTCGAAACATTCCTGTAGGGGCTTTGTGAAAACTACCTGGACTGATAACGGTAATGGGATGCTTATTTATTAGTGAGCTTTTATTACTTGTTCTTTGAATGGCTACTGTTTTCCCTTAGCAACTTATAAAACAGTTTGTGATTCTGTATTCATAAAGTATTTGATTAATTTGATTTGAAATGTTGCACCAAGATGTGTGGTTGTTTGGAAGTATCCCCTGTCTCCTTTATCTTTCTTTAGAATGGGTGTGCTGACACTTTTGCCTCCTGTTCTGTGCACATATTAAATAAAAGCTTACTGAGTAGCACAGAGCAAGCAGTCATAGTTTAGTGTCATCATGCTTACTGATATCACAAGTTTTAGCTTAGGATTGTTGCATAGTATGATGTCATTGAGCAAATTAGTTGTTGATATAACATTGTAATGGGCTTAAGTAGGTCAGCATAATGAATAGTAGTGTTAGAAGGAACTGATGACTCTTATGACACAGTGGTTTATTACACACCACTCGCGGACTGCCACTTAAGTAGATTCCATTTGTTTTATTTACTCTGATAACTTCTGATTTGTATACAGATTTTTTGTTTACTTTTTGTGAATCATCACTGACTAATACTTCAGCTATATTTCACTTTATATGATGATCTCAAGACTGGGCAGTATTTTTTTCCCTCTCCCCTTCCTTTCACATTCCTGTAGGGGCTTTGTGAAAACTATCTGGACTGATAGAATAATGGGGTGCTTATTTATTAGTGAGCTTTTATTACCTGTTAGGTCCTGGTAAAAATCAAAGTGTAGTTTTTTTGAATTCTTTCTTCTTTAGCCCTCTTAGAAATCAGATTTGTGGATTCAGATTTTCTGGAAAAATAATAATTAGGATATTAAGCTAATTTTTGTGCTATCGGGTTCAATTTACTACTCTAAAAAGTAAAAAGGGCTCTTAAAAGAATTAATACTATTTTAAGTTTGATAATGAATCCAAAGTATAAATTATTACTGACCAGTGTCATCTGAAGGAAAAACAAATCTAGTAGCTCAGTTGTAAAAAAATTTCTTGAAGCTCATTAAATGTAGTATTAGTTAATGGTTTTTAAAAAGTCACATTTTCAGCACCACTACTAGTAGCAATCGAGCAATTTTTCTTTGGTCTGTAAGATGCAAAAGTGGTAAACACTAATGTATATAAGGTATCTGAAGCACGTATTTCTTGAAATTTTGGAAACAAACTTCTCTGGTGCAACGGAAGGATCAGAGAAAAAGCCCGGGGCGGGGGGGGGGGTCCAACCTGCCGTCCAGGGGGCTGCGTGCTGATTATTTGAGGACTCTTTTGCTTATCTGTGTAGTTGGATATCACAGAAATTATGCATGGATCTATTTTTGCTCATCAGCTTTTGTTAGTATTTGTGTATTTAATGGAGGACTCAAGAAAACTCTTGGAATTTTAGGGTTACCCAAAAGGGTTGGGTACCCCTAAACAGTGTTGCTTTCAGATAAACCCTATTATCTCAAAGATGATTCAGACCCTGAAGAAACTTGACAAGGAAATGCACACATTATTGACAATGTTCAGTTCTTATTCTTGTTCACCTTTTGCCTTGGAAATTGGTTTGGTCGTTATATATAATATCATTTTTATTCCCATAAAGACTTTCCTTGAAGTAACAAATCATTCAATCACTTTTGTACTTCCTTGGTAAAACAGTTATTACATAGATTTGTAATTCAGTAACTTCAGGCCTTTGGGGTCTGTATAGATAAACTGAATCAGGGCAAATTAAGATCAGTATGTGAACAAACAAAACTTGACTGCCTGTTAGCAGCATGCCACACACTGTGCTGGCCTTAAGAGTGCCGTGTGTGAATGGCTTGCTGAGGTGTCTTGCTTTTACTCGGTTTTTGACTTGGTAGGAAAAGCAAATAAATGGTTAGATAAGCGGTTAAAATAATTGTAATGACAAGACTTCACAATTTATAAGCCTTTTATAATTCCCACTGAAACGTGGCCTTATTTAGTATCTTACATTGTCTTGTACAAATACATGTAATGCCGCAAGTGCCCTTCACTTACCGTCCAGTGGAATGAAGTGATACTGTGAACAAATCTGATGTGTGTATTGATGGCGGTTAATAAGTATTGCTTGAAAACTGGTTGTAAAAGTCACATCTACTCTAAGGAGTTTAGCAAGACTCATTATTCATGTTTGTTTTTTTATATTGTAGATTTCTCTTGGATTTGGCGAAATATTTCTAGATCTTCTGCACTGTGCGCAGGCACAGGTGAGTTAAAGTCGAATCTTTCCTATTGGAATGTTTTTATTCTTTTTAAGTAAAATCAAACACTTAAAAATTATTCTATTGTTTAGAAATTAAAATGAATACAAATAGAAACAAAATGTATATTTGCCTACATTTCTTTCATTATGAATGTTTTTAATGGCTGTATTAGAAATGGGATTTGAGGGCAAAATGAACATATCTGTTTACTGATTCCTGTATGTATTTGGGGAAGAGTTTACATATACCCTATGGAAGAGTTGATCATAATTTATTAAATTATAATTTCATAGCCTGGCAAAATGTTTACATTTATTTTTATGCGCAAAATATTTGAGCAGTGATATTTCTCACTTCTTATCAAACGAGGGTGCAGTAAGTAGCAAAGTTAATGTAGATTTTAGCAGGAAGTCCTAGACTTAGGAAGGTGGGTGGAAATGTAACGGGCCGTCTTTCTCGTGCAGCCACCCTGAAATGGCTTTTCCCTCACTCCTTAGCGCAGAACTGTAATTTGTTTTTCTCATGGCCTTTATTTCCATGTGGTACATTCTTTTTTTCCTGCTGCTTTACTAGCTTCACAAACATTGGCACAATTTCTGTCTTGTTCAAAACGGCATCCTTATCCCTTAGCATACATTGGTTAAAATAATTATTGGGTGATAAATATTAAGAGCATATTTATATTCAGGGTCATTGAACTCTGCATTTACAGATACAGTTAAAAATAGTTCCTAACACTTATAGATATTCTCGATATAAAATGAATTAATACCATGTGTGTAAATTACATAGCTCTTAAACGTTATGAAAAATTAGCTGGGTCGGATATTTTATGTATTAAAAAAATGCCTAATCAGGGTTGAATTCACAAGATAGCGCTTCCTGTTTAATAATTTTTCTTACTACCCTGTAAGGTTCCTATGATCAAGTAAAGAAAAAACCTGCAGAAAGTGTGGTAGTTTCTCACTTTCTTACTGGATCGTGTTAACATACTGGATGTGTTTTGTGGTATCTGCATAGAGTGCAAAGTCGATGTCAAAATTGTCCAGTTTTAATTTCTGAAAACCAAGTAGATTAAAAACTTTTCCACCACCTGCCACGGGATACAAAATGTAACTTGGTTGGTTTTGGGTTTCTAGATTCTGTCCTTTTCCTGCCCTGTATATTGATGTTTGACCTCGTTATCAAATGTAGCTCTAAGTATAATTTTATAAGCTGATTACTCATTTTCTTGGGTCCCTGGCAGCTCTCTGTGTTTCATGATATTGCTTGCTGTTACCGGGTTTCTTATTTGTTTTCTTTATTGCTATGTCTTACCTTCTGTAGGCATTCACCTCTCCTTCTGCCACCATGAATTTTCATTTATAGAAAGAATTAAGTCTGACGTTTAGGGTTTTTTTTTTTTTAACAGTGAAATTTTAGGGATTATATAGCCATTTCTGAGTCACGTCTATTTTCTAAGTGCAGTTTGCAGAGATTCCATTGATAATACTCCACAGCAGCAACTCTTTATTTATCACTCTCTTACTGTGTGCCAGGCATTATGTAAGTGCTTTCCAGTTATCTTCAGAATAACAGATAAGGAAATTAGAGCTCAGAGAGAGGTTAAGTGACTTTAACAAGGTCATATCAAGTAAGTGGCAGTTTGCCACCCCAGAGACCTTGATCTGAACCACTGAGCTCCATTTTCTTCCCCAAGTACAAGTGTGTTTGTGGCGTTAAGTAGAGTATGTAAAAATCATATTTATATTTGAAGATGTCAAAGTTATTTTAAAAGTCAAACATTTCACTTATATTTCATTAGTCTGTCTTAACTTCTAACCTTTATTTTAAGCTGTGAAACTTGTTACTCATTTGAAATTTAATGGCTGTCTACACAATTTAAACTCTATTCTACCACTTTTATTTTGTATTTACTTTGGAAGGGGCATGGTGGAGATGGTCATTTGCATTCCTTTTTACATTGTGAACACAGTATGTCATATTTCGGGATTCTTCCTTTCTTGCAGTATTAGAAGTTTTATGTTATTGGTGGCATCTGTTGTTCATTGGTTAGGTCACTTTTCCTGTGATGAGCAGATTGCTTGAAATACAGTGAGTAGGCTGGGCAAGGCCCACCTGTAATCCTAGCACTCCTGGAGCTGGTGGAGGGAGGATCTCTTGAGCTCAGGAATTTTAGGACAGCCTGAGCAAGAGTGAGACCCCAGCTCTACAAAAACTAGAAAAATTAGCTGGGCATTGTGGTGAATGCCTGAATTCCTAGCTACTTGGGAGGGTGAGGCAGGAGGATGGCTTAAGCCAGGAGTTTAGGGTTCCTATGACCTATGATGACTCCATGGCATTCTACCCAGGGTAACAGAGTGAGACTGTCTCTAAAAAAAAGAGGGGGTGGCAGCACCTGTGGCTCAAAAGGGTAGGGCACTGGCCCCATATTCCAGAGGTGGCAGGTTCAAACCCAGCCTGGCCAAAAACTGCAAAAAAAAA